ATGTTGCTGATAATGATTGAATCGATTTCTTTCCTTCGAAATTCGATAAAATAGCTCAGAGAACCCAAAATGTGAACTACATTCAACAAAATTATCCATCATCAAAGCACGTGGGTTTCATTATGTGTAAAAGTATCAAACGGCACATTATTATTAAAATATCGTTATTTATTTATAATTCTTTTTGTTAGACCAGATCAACATCACCGCACCCAATTCTTCTAATTAAATTCAAACAAACCGTCATTCAAATACTCGAGAACCATCCCACATGATCAATAGGTAGTGTAACATTTCTCAAAATGCTTAAAGCTATGTGAAAGCTTCCAAAGCACCAGCCGCCTCATTTTGACTGATGGGGCAGGTGCTACGCCCATCATTTTCAGAAATACAATACCCTATCATCAGCCCTGATTACTTATTCTCTCTTACGCCTACGAAGACGACGAAGAAAGTTTTGAATGAAAATGTAACGCTCCCAATTCCAATTCGATCATTGAAAAGAATCTTAGGGTAGATTAATTGAATGAAAACTATGATTGGTATTAATTAAATAGCAAATCTTGTTCCCAAATGCAAGAGCAATCTGATCAACAATGGAATCTTTCAGGCGTATAACTATCCAAAGTTTTCAGGTGTAATGATTCATAAATGTCTCACGTGGTCTGAGCATATTGAAATGTTTTCAATAAAACAAATCCTACTTTACAATTTATATCAAATAATGTTTTCGGCATGCTATCACTTGATAAAGGTATTCGATATGGTAAATCATGACATTCTTCTGCAGAAGTCAAACTCTATTGGCATTAGAATAATAGTTTTATCATGTTTTCAAAATCAACTCAGTGATAGTTCATCAATAACTATCAATTAAAAGTTCTGTTTTAGGTCCAACTATTTTTCTAACCTATAATAATTTTATTACGGAGCTTAATTTGTTAATATAAATCTCGGGTATATATAATATATTAATAAATATTTCGTTTATATAGGTGAGTAGGAATGTAGAGATTCAAATAACAGGGTTATAAATGAAAATACTTCTGAATACTACTTTCACATATATATACAATCGATCGCTTCAAAAACACTTCACTAACCTTCTTCGAAAGCTTCTGATGATTCCTCTTCAATATTCTCTGTTTCACTATCACTGTCGTCATTTATATCAATAATGAATTTATTTCCACCATTAATATGGAAGTGTCCAATCTCCATATAGTTTTTTTCAATGAAAATTACTTTTTTAATCCTTTTCTGCCAGTCTTTTTCGGTAACATTAGATACTTCTCTTTCAATTAGCTTTTTATTACGTCCTTATCAAATTTTGGAAAATTATTTTCACGCCTGATGCTTTGTTTCAATTTTTCCCAAATCAACTCAATGGGATTGAAAACACAAAAATAGGGGTAAGTCTCAGTATGGTGTGTCCATACTCTTCAGCAATACTCTCAAGGGCATACACTTTTTCAAATGTTTTTGTCTGTAAAACTTCAAGTAGTTGGTTTTCGGTATAGTAATCATCAAAATACAAATTGTTATCCACTAAAAAACTTTGTATTTCATCTTTCCTCGAATTTTTATTCGGTACTTTGATGAGCTGTCGCGAATGATAGGAAGCCTTGTCAAGAACTATTACACTATTCGCATCCAAATTTGAGATCATTCCTCAAAATATTGGCTTTCATGTTCTTATAATAGTCAACATTGCAGTCCACAAGTTTTTTTTCACATAATTTCAAAGAATTCGGAACCCATTCATTACTTCCTCCTTAATGCATAATGATTAGTCGCGATCCTTTGTTTGCAGACATGTTAGGTGTACACATTCTCGAACCATTAGTCCATCCTTTCGTAATTGTGACGCGAGTGTCATACCAAGTTTCATCCAAATAGAAAATTTGTCGTTGTTCTTGTCTATATTTAGTTATTCGTTTTAAGTATTTGTTAGGCAATTCCACTATTTTTCTACTTTCCATAACTGCTTGACGTTTTTTTATTATTTTGAATCTAAATTCTAGTTTCTCTATCCAAGTATGAAGAGTTTTGTCACAGCAGCTCAAGTTATGGCCGGAACTATTCAATTCTTCCTTATGATTTCAGTTGTAGGAATCTCATTGCTTTTGTAACAGTCCTATATTGTTTTTTTTCAATGATTTTATTAGACGAACATCTGAAGGTTTTGGTAATCC